CCATTTATATTAATAAGAATTTTGAAAAACTTCTTCATTCCACGAGGCCAGGGCTTGAAAAAGGAGACAAGGAAAAGAGATAAGAAAAGTAAAAGGAAGAGGAAGCGGGGAAATAACAGAAAGAAAGAAGTAGGATAGAAGAATAAGAAAGAAAATTATATTGTCGATTTTCAAATTATTGAAAAAATCTAACATAATAAAAAGAGCGATAGATACGACGTGTAATGTTGTAGGAAGACCTAATGAATTCTACCTTCACTGTAAAAATTTTAAGAAATGTAAAATTTTATAGCGTGTAAGTGTAAAGCTTTATTGTCATGCCCCTAAGCCAAGGGATCGAAACGTGAGAGGTCATACATCTAATTTGATCTATTCTATTAAATTTATTACACTGGATAGATTGTTATTCCAGTAATTACCAACAAGTGTAACGGTGAAGTTGTCAAGTACTAAAAAAGCGTTTTGTTAATTTTACTCAGAATTTAAAACGTTTCGCGAAAGAGGAAACAGGTCAAACTGCAACTGAGATTAAAAAAGCTGGATCAATTAATTTTTTACATATCAATAGGACGAAGAGACCGAAATCTTATTAAAAACCACATGTATAATCACCCTAGGGCGCAGTACTAATGAAGATAACATTCTTAAATCTGCTCCAGTACCGTTACGATACATTCTCACTTCTGTGTTGAATAACAACGCTTTCACACATCCTTCAGGCTCATCTGCTTGGTCATGTGTGTCGAATTTGTGACGTAAAAATTCTTGCAAGAGCAGTTCAATGCCTCGGGTCATTTCGTGTACTTTTCGATTAACAATCTATTTCATAATTAATAATTTGTACCCTTCAGCTAATAGAGCCTGGATAGCACAGTCGTTATAAGGACAGGCTTTGAGCTTGACGTCCGAGAAGTCGGGGTTCGATTCCTGGCACGAGTAAGATAATTTTCTGTATTCCGTAGCCTTCAGACGGGCTGAGGTGTCCACCCAGACTCCTGTCCGATATATACTAGGGACGCTTTATTCGGGAGTAAAGCGGCCGGTGAGTGAAGCTGATCATTCCAAGGTTAAGAATAAATGGAGCAATACTGTGACGCCTACATACATCTTCATGGCGTTGTGCTTAAATAAATAAGAACAGGGACAATATTACCTTCTTCTTTTACTTTTCAGCTAATATTATTAGTGCGGTTAGATCAATAAGAATGAGAAATACAGTTAATGACTTTTGGACATTAACCATCGTCCCGTTTTTTAATTTAAAATAACGTTTCAGAGCCCAAATGAGTAGGCCTTTTACCTGAGGATGGAGGCAAATTTGTTGTTTTATATTAAGAAACGGTACAAGGATAATGTCATTTTATTAATATACCACCATCACAAACTCTGAGAATGGGAAAATCCGAAATCATAGCACGCACACGGGAAATGTGAATGCATAGCCCTCTGCTGTCATGGCGGAATAGAGCACTGAAGATGTAGACGTTATGTAGGAGGAAGCTATTAAAAGAGATCTGTGTGAAATCGTGGATTGGATAAAAGTATCCCAGGATAAGTTGCGAGGAGGCATTTTTCCAAACATGACGATTAAATTACGTGTTCCATAAAAGCAGAGAATATTTCCATCAGCTGAGCAGATTTTGAATGTAGACTTTGCCCTATGTAGTTTGTTAACAACACAGCCATGGGACATGATGTAAGTTAGTATGCACGAGGAGTAATGCACCAGTCACCCATTCGAGAAAATATAACTAACTCCATGGAGCTGAACCCCCCTTGAGGAGCCCCCAAGTAGCTCAGCTACTCAAGNGCTGAGCAGATTTTGAATGTAGACTTTGCCCTATGTAGTTTGTTAATAAAACAGCCATGGGACATGATGTAAGTTAGTATGCATGAGGAGTAATGCACCAGTCACCCAGTCGAGAAAACATAACTAACTCCATGGAGCTGAACCTCCCTTGAGAAGCCCCCAGTAGCTCAGCTACTCAAAAATTTACCAACATCTTATGGGACCAGAAGGATCATTACTGTGTTCACAAGTGCCCTCCATCGGTCCCTATCCTGAACCAGATCAATCCAGTCCATACTAAACCACCATATATCTATGAGATCCATTTTAATATGATCCTCCCACCTACGTCTAGGTCTTCCTACTGGTCTGTTGCCTTCTGGATTTCCCACCAGAATTCTATATGCCTTACTCTTCTCCCCATGCATGCAGTATGATTATTCTAAATTATTGTTGGGGTTTCCGTGGCATATAAACGGAAACATCGACAATAATTTAGAATCACTCTGTACTTGGTGAAGCGCGCAAGTTACGAAATCCTTCATTGAGCAGTTTTATCCAACCTCCTATCACTTCATCCGTCTTCGGTCCAAATATTCTCTTCAGCGCCCTGTTCCCGAACACCTTCAGTCTCTGTTCCTCCTTTAATATGAGAGACTAAGTTTCAAACTCACACAAAGCCATGGGCAAAATTATATTTTTGTATATGTTAATTTGTACGCTTTTCGACAGCAGACTGGAAGGCAAATTAGAAGCATGGAATAAAAAGAGTTGCATGGCAAATNTTATGAAGTTCCTCATTGAGCAGTTTTATCCAACCTCCTATCAGGTCATCTGTCTTCAGTCCAAATATTCTCTTCAGCGCCCTGTTCCCGAACACCTTCAGTCTCTGTTCCTCCTTTAATATGAGAGACTAAGTTTCAAACCCACACAAAGCCATGGGCAAAATTATATTTTTGTATATGTTGATTTGTAAGCTTTTCGACAGCAGACTGGAAGGCAAATTAGAAGCATGTAATAGAAACAGTTGCATGGCAAACAGCCATACAGATTCCCATTCTGCACATAGATTTGGTCAATGGTCAATGGTCAATGGTCAATGAAGTAGAATTTATGCAGAAACAGAAAGATATATGCTCATAATACAGGACCATTTAGTAGATTTTGTCACATGTAGGGGAGGACGCGTGACGAAAATAACGGGTTCTAGATCAGATGATTGGATTTATTAGCATTTCGGTTACAAGTTCTCTTAATTACTATTAATACAGTGCTATTGCTGACTTACACACTTTCCAGTTTACCATTATGCATGCATTAGGATTCTCCATCTTCCCTGCTCATCTCCTGGCAACGGATCTTGACACAGACACTATCACTTCAGATCGCTATGAAGTCTTCTTGCCAAAATTTTTCAGTCACCCTGGAACCTCGGAACTCAGCTAAAAACTCTTCTGGACTCTTTACTCAACTAATCTTCACAGTTCACTAATGACACGTTCCATTCTCGTCCTTGTACTCTTAACTGCTCCTAGCTTCTGAATTCACTTCTCTTATAAGCACTCTGCACAGACTCCATGGAAAACACAGTTCGTATTGTTGATGAAGTCACCGCGTTGCGTAGCATGGTTTGACACATGGAAAAGTGTTTACCGAGCTGTTGTCTCGAAATGGAATGCATAACATTGTTGTTACATTGTTGTTGTGGCTCAACTGTTCTTGAATGGAGTAAATATGTCACAATATTCTTAAACAACCACAAGAATCAGACAGATGCTCTTATAACAGAACAATATGTTGCATAGTACTACTATGTCCATCACCAGCTACCACAGAATACACAAGGAAATATGAAAATGTAGCCAAGCATCTCCACAAACAATTAAGCATTGTAATATAAACTCCATAGAGAATATACCCCAGCTCACAAAACTCTCTTGAAAAGCGAACATGCAGTGTTTCAGCGGAATAGAGACTTTTTCTATTGGTGAGAAAATAATTCAAAAGCCTGGTCCAATCCTAACGAGGCAGCAAGAATAAATCGCTAGTCTGATGAAAAATTTGACACCAAACAATGTAGTGATCTTCTGATTGCACTCGACTGTGATAAGAATGAGTGTCTTGTTGTCCTTGCTAGGGCTTTCTTTCTGCAATTCATCAGACCTCTTGAGCAACCTTGTTTACAGACCTCCTCTGGCTTTCTCCACGTCACTGGACAATGCCATGGGGGCACCACACAGTACAGACTTTTCCTCAATGCCAAGTATATACACTCCTTGATCAACAAGCTGCTCAAGTTCACAACCATCTTCTTTTGACATAGAGGATCAGGGTGTTGAGCCTCAGGCAGATGAAGGTGTATACTACAATCTGATTTTGCTGTCTGCTGAAATATGTACATGTAAGATTTTCTCAGACATGAGACAGTGAAACGACTAAGTAACCAAGCATAGGTGTAATCCCAGCAGCTCATATCAGATGATAAAATTTGACCTGCATCTGGCGTAGTGGATCTGCTCACTGGTAGATACTAGCATATTACTCATAGTATGTATATAGTGCTGGAAATGCTGGAACCAGAGAACCATGTTTTGGTTCTGCACTTCAGTAGGAAGAGCAGGGGACTAAATAGCCTCTCTTGATTCAGAGAGTTTTAAATTTGTGGACCTTATATAGAGAAGCATTTCCACATAAGATCACAAGGTGGTAGTTCTATTTGCATCCATAGTCATCATCTCGAGAACACTAAAGGCCTCAATGTAATTACTGCAGAACAAGTCAACTGCACAGTCAGAAATTGTTATCCCTAATACTTCATTAAACATTCACCATATAACACAGTGTTTAGAATATGAGTCATAGTTCATAATGAAAAATGAATTTTGTCATTTGCCAATTTTCTATTGAACGATTTTTTCTTTTAATAAATTGATGAAACTCAAATTAAGCTTCATTTTAAAGTAGGGTAGGGGATAAATATGACTGATATAAATCAAATTTACATTTGCATTGCAACTTTTATTCTGCACTCCCCATTAACATATTCCATCAAAGCTCAATCAGTAGTCTGGAGATGAAACATCCCAACAGGCTGGCATTCATTTAATGCACCTCATACAAACAATGAATAAAATGACAAAATAAGTACATGAATTCCCAAGTACACCTAAATATAATAAATACATAAAATGTTTTTCCTATTGTTGTGTAGGTAGTAGATTCCCGCACCCGTAACCTTGCCGATGGGAGTGTGCAGCAACGGCAGAGGAAGCAACTGGAAGTGTTTCAGGCTCAGGTTCCCGGAGGGTCACTCCAAGTGATACGAACCAAAAGTGTGACGAGCACCAATTCCAGCAGTACCTCCTGGAGAGCACCCTTGCACAGTGACATCAATCTGCCTTCTGAGTTTGAAAACCTACAGGTTGTGTACCTACAGACAAATCAGCTTGTGATATAAGAAATGCATAACTAATTCTCTTGTAGCAGAACCACACAATTTAACAGTGCTAATAACATAGTCTGCCACTGGACACATTGCTAAGTTAGTTCCATCCATCTCCTATTCTCGCATCCCATTTGAACTGTGTCCTAAAGATCATTGAGCCTGCACCACCACCAGGTAGTGATGTAGACTTTTACGTCACCATATGAAAGTTATTACAGTCTATTTCCAACATATCATGAGAAGCAGGCTCATCAAACATTATTTCTTATCTGGAAACTTTCCTGTTCAAAGTTTGACATATCTTCAAAGAACAGCCAGGGTAGTGCTGCCAGTATAGTTACCGGCTACTGGTTGAATGCCTGAGGTGCCCGAGTATGAGTCCAGGAAAGGTGAGATTTTTCTCTCTCCACATCATCCAGCCCGGTTCGAGGTCCACCTAGCCTCCTATCCAATGTGTATCAGGAACTCTTGAAGTTGACCACTCACTCCAACTAGTGGGCGAAATATTTCAAACATACCATAACAGGAGTATAACTATCCCTCTACCATAATGACAATTGTGTGAGGAAGGTTGTTGAGTTGAGTTGCTAGTGGCAGCTAAGAGAACTATTCCACAGCAAGTGAACATATGTGTATTGCAATAATTTTTAACTTTATTTACAGAAACGGAAAATTTTCTGTGAAATTTTTTTTCTTACATGATAATTCTAGATGCTTAGGTACCAAATAATTGGAGTTTACTGTAATACATAATTTTATATTGTTTGTTATGTTTATCTCTTCACAGTTGCCTGTGAATCCTTTAGACATAAGTTCTCAGAAGACAAAGGCCAGCATAGGTCGTAGTGGATCTATTGGAAGTCGTCGTCCGCCATCAAGACCTCGTAGTATCACCAACAAAGTTGACAGTGTCATTTCTGAAGAAAATTTACTTCCAAATGCTGAGAAGAAGGATGTGGACCAACGCCTTTCAGATGTGTCAAGGATATGTCAAAAAATTCATGAGGAAGCTAAAAGGAGTATGTCAAATTCTTTTCCTTGTTCAGTGCCAGAGCCATCCTCAAAACTGACCAGTCTGAATGATAATAAAGTGATCAGAACAGAAAACATAAATAGAAAAGACAGCACTGATGGCAACAGATATAGTTGCATAAAGTCAGACAAACAGAATTCATTTAATGCATTTGATGCTTTTGTAGACAAGACAAAGAAACCAGGTGAGATTGTGTCTAATGGGCTTGTTCATGCTATTATAACAAGAAATAAGAGTTGTTCTACTGAAGATCTAAAAAATAATGATTATAATGAAAAAGAAAGGCTAAATGAGGGGAAGGAAAGTTCAGTAGACTTGATTAGAACTTTGGGTGTGAGGCGATCATTTCAGTTGCCAAATAGAGGATATAATTCAGATATTCCCAGTGGAGATATCAGTAAGCTTCACCAAGAATTAGAGGACAAAAAGATATTGGACACTATGAAGAATAACACTACTAATTTTGAAGCTTTTGAAAATGTCTACAGGTATGGCACTGTCTCGGCAAGAAACACTTCCATGTTCAGTGGAAATAACAGGCAAGCATGTATTGTTAATTCACTGACAGATAAATCAGGAAATGGGAGTGAACTGGAAGGATTCTCCATGAGAGTTGACTCAACTAAAGGTTCTCCACACAAACGCCATTCTTTTGTTACTGTAGAATCTTTGAAAGAAGTTCGAGGCCGACTGAGACACCTTAGCACACCTCCAGCAGATGTCATTCAACTCCCAAATAGTAGTAAATGTGAAAAAAGATATGTGGAAGATAGTGATGATGGAATTGTGACTGAAGATTTCAACAAGACAGTCTCAGGAATGAATCTTGGGTCAACAGAGGAAATTCAAACATCTCGTGTGAAATCATATGTGTATGACATGGAAGCTATAGCAAATGAGCAAAGCAGTACACATAAATCTACTGCTGGCACTGGAAGCCTAGAACTGAATAGGTCCAGCAGCAGCAGTGGAAACCGATCTGAAGAATGGTACAACAGAAGAAAATCATACGGCTTTGAACAGGTCCATAACCAGCAGGCTGATAACCATTCGCAACCAGTGACATTCCAAGAGAGAAGCAGAGTAGAGTCATCAACTGACAGTGGTATTTGTAGGTCTTCTGAGACAGTAATCCCATCATCATGGACCTCATTTAACAGGGAGAAGGCAAATGACAAAATCTGTCACAACAATTTTAAAGCAAACCACAGTATTAAAATAAAACAGGATAGTGATGACAGAAGATTTATAGAAACAGAAAACAGAGGGAATGAGAGTAATTCTCAGAAAGGAAGGAAGATAGTTGTGACTCTGGGAAGTGATAATGAAGGCATTAGAGGTGGAATGCATGTGAATGGAAGCAGCATAATGGAAAGTAGTCCCACGATTGTATCAAACAGCTGGAGAAGTGGGTATGATGCCAAAGCACTCAACATTTTGACTACGGGCACAAGCAATAGAAGTTCCCATCGCCTTACAGATCCATTAACTGTAACAATTCCAATTGTTCCTGATGATTCGTTCAGTAGTATTGATGGAAGTGTTTTTACAGATGCTAGGAAACGCTACTTAAAACAGTTTCCAGAAAAGGCAAATGTGAGCATAGAAAATGGATGGAGGAATTCTGGAACTTTCATTACAAGTAGAAATGAGTGTCTCCAGAAAAATCTTTCAGATGAATCAAAAACACTCGCAGCTAGGCGAGAGTTGATTCTGAAACACAGTGGAGGAAATGGTTGGTCTGCTGCATCCAGACAAACAGACAGTGAAATAAAAAGACATTCCATTGCTGTTGATGAATCAAAGTATGTTAAAAAGGATCTGAAATGTTATAATATATATGACAACAGAACAGAACACTTTAATTTTGAAAATGGGTTCAAAACAAGTTCTACTGGTATTCCAGATGTTGAAAAAGACACTGGTCTGAATCCTTCTAATAAAGAAGAAGCACTGCCTCTTCAAAAGGAAATGTGTAATAAAATACAAACTTCAACTGGAATGTCCCAGGATGGTAATGATTCTAAACCTGCTCCACTTGCCTTTGAAAATGATTATGGTGATGAACTCTTGCTTCAGAATCATCTAGCAGGTAAAAAACACAAGAAGGTAGAGTTCTGCAAAACTGAGGTCCACTTTGCTGCTGAACCAGGACGTTTTAACATAGTTGAAACAGATGAGAAGCCTCCACCAAACAATATTAGGAGAAGGAGACGTACCAGTAGTGGTACAATTTTAGTCACCCCTCACTTACAAGATGCCAATAGAATCAGCCTTCCTGAAATTCGCTTTGGAGATTCACCATATGAAAAGAAACTGCTTGGTGGGACTGAATCTAAAAATAATTCCCACCAGATCGCTGTCAGTGTAGACCCCTTTAATAAAAGCGATTTAAATCAATCAGAACCTATTACACCTGCTTCAGGGTCTCCTTCTGGTTTTCAAGATGATGCAGATAAAGATGATAATATTTTTACATTAGCAAATGCTACTATCCCTTCAACAATGGGGCAGGATACTTTGGAAATGGGAGTTCATAATACTGATGAAGATGTTTGCAGTGATTCTAACTCCTTGCAGCCAAATTCTTTAGGTTCAATTTCCCTATGTAATATGATGCCTCGTAGCATATTAAAAAACAATAAGAAACCACGCCCTTTTCACTTGGGTGAGACAGATGAAGATATATTGATGTCAAGTGTAAGCGAGAAGTCTGAGAGATCAAATGAAGATGCTGAAGTAAAATGGGGTGTAAGACTTAAGCCTGTACAGAGCAGAGAATCACCAGCGCCTTCAACATCCTCATGGAGATCTACAGTCACACTACATAATCCAAAGTCTGATGCTCAAAGGCAACAAAATTATACTCCAGCACTGATACTGAAGGATGTGAGGCTTTCATCCCCACAGAGCTATGAGGAGGCGACACATCTCAGCAAACCACTTAAGTCCCTTCAACCATCTTTTCAGAAAATGCCTGCTGTGGGTGCTCTTGGGGCACCAATTGTGCCAAAAACTCCATCCACAGATTCTGTTGGGACAGGCATGGAATTGAAAATTTCAATGGGTCTCCCACTTTCTGTTGCTGAGAGGGTCCGTCGGGTGGAGGATCTACAGCATGCTGCTTTGGAAACCAGAGGGTACTCAACCAGAGTGAACTTTGGTGCTGGAGAAACCACAGTCATAGAGAGCAGATCATCTAATGAGCAGCAGACGCAGTCCACGCCAGCATCCCCCAAATACCAACCAAATAATCGACCAAAACCAGTTTGGCTTCAGAGGGAAGAACGAAGACAAGAAGCTATGCAACACTGTGGTAAGTACTAATCTCCCCCCCCCCACACACAAAGTGTTCTAGTCTGAAAATTACAGACCCTTATAAGCTAAAGATAATAGCAGTGGCTCAACAAATTCTGGACATCATTTCACCATGGTACCACCTCCAACCCCCATGGCACCTAGTATTCTGTACAGTATTATTCAAAGTTATTTTGCGTTGGTGTACAAAAAGGAAAATATAATGCCTAGCATGTAGTTGTGACTCTGTCATCTGGTTACAGTTTAGTCAACAGTAAAACCATAAGCCATTCTGCTCAGTCATTATTCAGCAGAAAATTTTAAAATATTATGTTTGACTTATGTAGTAATTACAGTTCACATATACACATTCCAACATTGTTTTGTTTTTGTGCTTCGGTCTTTATTATGAAATAAGATCGTATTGAATTTCATAATACAGCACTGCACTTTCTATTCAAAGACTTATTTTTCTATATGATTAGTATGAATTTTCTGTAAAACAACATGCAATTTATGACCACTGACTAATGTTCTAATAATAGTACTAATGTACTAACTTTCATTTTAATTTCCATCCTGTCACCGAATTTTTAAAGGTGGCACTAAATCAGTAAACATTTTTTGAGGACCAGTAATAATAATATAAAGCATTATGAAACAAACATATAGCACAAAGGAAATAAAATGGTCAGTTGCTTTTCATTTTGAATCTATTTATAGATCCTAGAAACACAGAGTTGAGAAAGGTGTTACGATCAGAATTTACACCAATATTCTGATTATGCTGTCCTATAAAGATTTTCATTTCTGAAGTATGGTACAAATTTAACATACGTATCTTCATATGCCTACAGCAAATTATCCGTGTTCTGAGCAGTTTACTGAATCAGCACTATGCGATAAATCCTAAATTAGATGATTTTACATCCCTTGTCTACAAGGAAGAAATATTGTGCACAATTATAAATCCATATTGCATAACATTTCCAATGTCTATGAAATTACTGATCCAAAAAGCATAAATTTGCAAAGGAATATAATTGCATTATACAGAGTTTTGCCATTGCATGAGGTATGGATCATATATGTATGCCTTAATATTCTTTCTCTTTGAAATTAGCTACTAAATTACTGGCTTTGAGCAGTAGTTTCAGTTACACTCAGTAGATGGAAGCTTCTGTGCATATCAGCTTCTTCTTAATTTACCACAATTTCTTAGTATTTTTTTTTTATTTTGATTTTATAAAGACCCTTTTATCTTATTTCATAAGTTGGTTCACTGTGAGAGAATCAATATAAGTAATTCTGCTTGTTATAAATAAGATAGTTTTTGCGCTTACACATTCAGTACCAGACAATTTTCTATCACAAATTCCAAAAAGGTCTTATCACATATCCCACAAAATTGTATTCAATAAAATGTAGTGTCACCATTAATCTCAGCATCAATAGAAGGAGTCAATTTTGTCATATCTAAGCAGGTAATTGAATCATCCATCACAACTGATCAATTTTAAAACTGAAACATAATAAACAGAACTTAGTCAAAATAAATGCCCTCTCCAAAAAAGTTTTAATTAAAAAACTGAATGTGAATTGACATTGTTGGTACTGAATGTAAGTACATAAACTAACTGCAGCAAGGTAGCATGATTGTTTGTGCTGTGCTGTATGAATATGCATGTTAATGAAATTGAGTTTATATTTGTTTGAATGCAAAGCTTGTAATGCCAGCACACATTGTATGGCATGCTTTGAGATACAGAGTTCACTTGAGACTTCACAGATCTTCATTTCTTGAACTGTTCTGATAATCAGTCTGTCACACTGTCCAATTTTCTTTTCATGATGACTATATCTGTTTCTTAATGTACCAGCAGCATTCAGAGGCATAGTAGCAAGAAAATGTATAAATTCTCCATGGTTATTATATTTACTTTTAGACTGTTTATCCCACTGGCTCATTTTTGCAGCTGAGGAATAAATGCAGGTTCAGATGGTGTTGTCTACCCTATGTCTATTTAAAGTGATCAAATAAAAGTTCAAGTGGCTTACTTATTGGATAACAAATAGAGTATACCTATGAGTGTATAAATTATTTTGATAAATCTGAGACATTTATTTTTAATTATTTCGATTAATTTTATGTATGTATTCTGAGTAAGACAATTTAAGCTGTATGCCAATAGGTGGATCTCACTGTATTAACCATAAGATTATATAGTACTTACATAATAGTGGAAATGTATATTTACTACAGTTTTCAAACTGCATTCTTTGTGATTTTGCACTCCTCATTATCCTTGATATTATATTTAGTATAGCAGATAAATCTATTACTATAGATGTCTACTATCATAGATAATAGATTTATGCCACTGGAGAACCTCAAAATTTAATTTCCTAAAGTTGGTGGTAACAACAAAGCAAACATGCAAACTCTCAAGGTGGGAATGACAGTAGTGACCACAGTCTTCACAGTCATGAAAAACAAATTATTCTCATTCAGTACCATATAACATAAGCTGTGATTACAGTGCCATGTAAATAACCTAAGAATCAACTGATTTATAGCAGAAGGAATATGTTCTATTTACTCTGAAAATCTTGTTGTGTACATTTGATGGAACAAACTGACTTCAGTAATCTCTGTCCACTTACATTTGCTGGCTTTTCGAACATTTTACTTGATTTTTTTTTCATATTTTCTCTTTACTCTTTGTATAAGGGTTGTCCTGATATTTCTTGGTTGCTTTGCCTCAGATGATACAACGTAACAGCCTTAGTTCAACTTAGTTCTAATAGAGGTGTATGAGACTAACTGGATATCAGAGAGACTTGTACTTTTTAAGTGAACTGATCTTTGTGTTCATATTTCTGTAATTAAATAATAATGGTAGTAATTAATATTAATATTATTGTATTGTATTTTTTGCATTGTACAGGTAACGATACAGGCCTGTTTATAATGGAAGTCATAATATTGTAAGCACTGTTTCTTACAGTGTAGTGTGCTGCAAAATATGCTTAACTCCTAACAATTCATACATAGCTTATAACTGAGATGAAAGGAAATGGATATATGTTCAGACCTTCTAAAACTGTTTCAAAACTTATGAGTTCCTATAGAGAAAAATTTATATGTGATGCTGGGACATAAGGCTGTCAACCTCATTATCACTGAAGTCTCTCATTTGTAAATATTTTTAAATTTCACACTCTTCTAGTACATATCAGTTGTTCCATAGGATGAAACAAATATCATATGAAAAACACAGAAAGCAGGTAGAACAGTCATCCCATACAAGTAACAGAATACAGTTTTCTAATATACACAAAGACGTCTATTTTGGTGATGCATAGTGGTACAATATGCCAGTAATTGTATGTACAAAACATAAAAACTTAAAAATCTGTTTCTAAAAAAGAAGAATACCAAAGTTCACATAAGGATAAACAATTTATTGAATTTAAAATTTTATTTTTCTCAATATCTGAAGGAGCATCCTTTCACATTTTTCATATCTCAATTCCGGAAACTTTCTTGCTGGTAAAGTAAGGATTGTCTAGTAAGAACAGAAAAGTCATTTGCTGGCAGGAGTTTTGTGTCTGGGGGGGGCAGTCAGTTTCTTCAAGAGGGGGAAACCAGGCATTTTTTTACAAATTTATGTTTAATATTTTTAAGACTATTTTTACTTATCTCTGTAGGATATTCAGGCGGAAGCGATATTTTTTCTTGTGTTTTTGATTTTAATTCTTGGTATATTTTGTACGCTTTCAAAAGTCTTGGGGGGGGGGGCAGACATCTGAGTTGGAGTCTCCTCTCTGGTGCCCATCTGGTGTTATCTCATATAGACAATATAATATACCTGTATAAAACAGAATGCTCAGTGAATTTAATAGTTTACTTAAATATTTTCTTGTATTGGGCATTAATGACACTGAACCAATTACTTGGAAAGTAAAGATATTGAATGTATAAAATCTGAGATATTCACAGTAGTCAACATTCATTGTAGAGTATTCTGTGTGTGTGTTTTAATAAAATGAAATGGTAAAAGTTCCAATATTTCAGAGGAAATTGCTGTATTTTACTTTAGGGTTGAAGTTACAGATAAATTAGCAGCTACACTGCTCATGGTCAGGTCTTGAATGGGTAATCAACTTTGAAAGAGAAGGCAGAATCTTTCTCTGAAATGTTCTGGTCATATTTATCACTTGAACATGGTACAATACTCAGAATATTTAACAATGATAGTTCCTTAACCCCATTATTGGTCATCATGACGCTTATGTATCGTCACTGTGTATGATGTGTAACATATGTAGGATGCAAGTGGCAATCCTGCTCTTCTACACATGTATTGAGCCTATTTGCATGACAGACAAATATGCTTGAATAACTTCATACAGCTTTATTGGACTTACTTCTTTATACTACTTTGTACTACTCTTTATTAGTAAATAATGGCAAACTTTCTGTAGGTAATTTATACAGTCAGCCCTTTATCTGTATATATAGCATATTTACATAACAATTTTAAATTTCAATACTGTGTGTTTAATGATGTTACTGTTAAAAACACTTTTTAAAAATCTTGTTACCCCATTGATTCCCCATCCAAATTCACATTATCCCAACACTCCCTATCAACCAATTAATTTAGAATTTGAAGCATACTATATTCTACTGTTTTAGGCGAATGAAAGCTTTAAAGACTGAATTTCTGCTAAGTAATATATACAAATCCAGTTTCTACCTCATATGAAATGTGTTGGGTCTCCACTGCAGTAAAGGATCAGTTAATGCTGTTTTGAGAAAAAATCATTGTTTATTGTGATAACCATATGAAACATATAAATACAGTCTGTGGGCAAAATGCAGAGCTTTGGTAAGTTAAAGCAGGTGGTATATATAGTAACCATTGGGCTTTAAAATTTTAATAACTATTGCTACTGAAGATTATTTCATTGTGTGAGATAAGATTAATGAATCAGTTACATCAGTGGTAAACATCCTTTCATCAGTGGCAGGCACATAAAACTTCCATTTTTGTAATGAGAATTAAAAGAGAAATAAAGATTGTAGATGTATGTGTACAGTTATTATATACACTTCATTGTGTGTGTATGTTATTTGCACTTCTAACTTATCAAAATTCATAGACAGGCCTCATGAAAGTGACCAGCAAGTCACATGCTGCCTATGGGCCACCTGTAGCCAACCCTTGAGTAGAGTGGTTACCAAGTTTAAGATTGCAGCAGAAACAGGGTGTTTCCCTTTACCAGAATGCCCCTGCAGGCTCTGACACCTACCTGTGGATAAAATGAGCAGAGCATCAAACTGAAAACTTACCTCCATTTTATGCCAACATCAAGAATATGTAGAGTTTTGCCTCCTGTCTTACTATTGTCATCATAGCATGGTGCTTAGACAGATGATCATAGTCACCTTTATTTCATTGCAGTGCATTTCATTTTATGTTAACTTATGTTAAGGATGTTTTATGGTAACTTATGATTTGGCAACCATAGCAGAGTGGGGTGCCCAGATAATGGATGATGATGCAAATTCCTACTTTCTCCTGTAGAAAAACACTACAGAAACTGGGGCTCAATTCCCCACTGACATAAGAGATCTTTCTCTTCTCAGTTATATCCAGACTGGTTCTGGGGCTCTCTCGCCCTCCTATACACTGAGTACTGGGGAGCTGTTTGTCCAGAAGGCATAGGCATGAAGCTGCGTACTCACCTCCATTTACTGCCAAAGTCAAGAATGGTGGTGCTTACCTCCACTCCCCCATACATCTTCATTGCATGCTTCTTAATTAATTAAGTTCAGGGATAATTTTATCTTCTTTTACAGTTATCTATAGAAAAAATTAACTAATTTCTAATTGTAACTGAAATCTGTCTTTGCTGTCAATTATCAGCCATGAATATCACTTATAACAAGTGCCATGAGTGCCTGCTTCAGTGATGTATATCTATTTTGTGTGTTTTACTGCCTGAATATCTGAGGTCTAATCATGAAATCTAAAGAGTTATTACACTTAATATACATATATTATATACGTATATTATATTCAACATTTTCCATTGTGGAATGTGTGCTATTTCAGGAGTTGGTTCTACTGCTGTCTTCAGGTGATCCATTGTAATTACAACAGAAGATCTGTTATTACTGTTTTATTTTTAAGGTGACCTATTACGCAGTTGGTCTGTTTTCAATCCCAACCACTACCATTGATAATAAAAACAGAAAAAGGTACAAAATCTTTGAGTATAATGGTAATAAGTCACTTGAAGATGATACTAGAGCTAACTCACAGAACATCATATATATCAAACAGGGAGATATCCAGTAAATTATCAATAGAACAAACAGTCAAATTTTGTCTCAGATCTTTAGAAACTCTATAAAATGATATTATAATCCATTTCCCAAAGATATTTATTATCTTCCCACATAATTGTAACATTATATATGGACAAACACCTTCTTAAGTGCGACAATTTTATTGTAGTTTTTGCTTCCTTTTCTCCTCCACACTACATGTTTCGGCCCTAAATGGCCATCATCAGGTGTGTATTACTCATGTAGCTGTTACACTGCTTGTTAAAATTTAAAATCACCAGTCTTTCTAATTGTATAAAATCTTTGTTAATCTACAAGCGTCGATTTGATTTTTAAAATAGCACTTTTTAAAACTTTAATTCAAGTTAAAATGTCTATAAGATCTCTGTTCTCTTTTGTTTTTCAAATTTTTAAATTAAAATTTTTCAGGGTACATGCCCTATATCTACGGTGCTGCAGCGGCCACTTCTTGTTTTTATCGCTGTTCATGTGTTGTCTGTAATATACAAATATTCGTATTACTATCTTATGTTATGTTATGTTATGTTATGTTATTCTTATATGTTTATACTGTTATTTTTATATGTTTATACTGTTATTTGTACTTACTCTGTGTAGGCGCTCTCTGTGTGTGTCCCTGCTTATCTTTAATACGTTTGCTGTCTGGTGTACTGTATGCTGTGTTTTATGTTGGTGAGTGTTGGAGGGGGAATGGGTAGTGGGGGGAGGGAGGTACTGTTAGTCTGTATAGATTTCGTATATAGTTTGAAATATGGGATTGTATGTTTCTATGTGTGTGTCATTCATTTGTAGGCCTTTCTTGCTTATTTTATATATATGGTATTTCTCTAATGTATTCAAATGTTTACCCTTTTTTCCCGTTGTTACAACTTCCATTAATATATGTATTGTTTCTTTGTGGCTTTCTTTATCTATGTCATAGTTTTCCTCTAATATAGTGTTTATTAATGTATATTAAAAACAGTATTGGAACAGAATTATTTTCAAATTGACCAAAATTACTACAAACAAACAGATGGTCTATCTATGGGAGCCCCAACATCGGCAATAATAGCAGAAACATATATACAATATATGGAACACACTCAAATATTTCCCATTCTAGTAAAACAACAAATAGTGGCTTACTTTAGATATGTTGATGACATATTAATAATATATGATGAAAAAATAACGAACATAGAACATACACTCAAAGAAATTAACTATAAAGTTCACAATTGAAAGAGAACAACAAGAACCAATAACTTTCTAGATATAACAATACATCGTAACGAAGATAGCTTGCAATTCGAAATATATAGAAAACCCACACAAACAGACATCATAATACCTAACAGCTCGTGCCATCCATTCGAGCACAAATTGTCAGGTATTAATTACTTAATGAATAGACTCCACACATACCCAATAACAGAAAAAGGAAAACAAATAGAGAAGAACACTATTAAAAACATACTACATAACAACGGATACGACACTAACATAATCAAAAGATCGAATCAGACAAAACGAGAACAAAAATCAAACACAAATGACGACGAACAACAACCAAAAACAAAGTGGGCCATATTTACATATAGTACAAAAGAAGTAAGAAAAATTACAAAACTTTTTAAAGACACACAGATAAAAGTAGCATTCCGCACACGTAACACAATAGAAAACATACTCAAACAAAAACCACAATTAGATAAATACAATAAAAGTGGCATATACCAAATGAAATGTGTAGATTGCCCATTGAAATACATTGGACAAACGGGCCGAACATTTAAC